GAGCGGGGGATTAAGTGATCCCAAGAGCTCTGTGCGATGCCAATAGCCGGCGGAGAGGCAGCGCGACCCCCGATGGAACGAGACGGCCCTTCCCTGCAGCCATACGGGCAGGCCCAAGCCTACGGCCCTTCCCTGCAGCCATACGGGCAGGCCCAAGCCTACGGCCTTTGTCTGCAGCCGCGGGCTGGAAAGCAGGGAGCCCCACCCTCACTGCACTACCCTCAGGTCCCAGCAGGCTGCTCGGCAGGAGACCCCCATCCTCAGGGTGCCCACTGTCACCAGACACAGAGCTCGACGTGGGTCAGCGGGCCAGAAACCGCCTCCCGCTAGCTGGGGTCGTGGGATCCTCCTTGGACGATCAGGGACCCCACGGCCCTGGTTTGCCTGTAGGATCCGTCTGGTGTCGAATAGTTTGTCTGCTCTAGCGTTTATTTGGCCAGGTGTCAATCAATCAAGAGGACAGGGTCTGATTGGCTAGGGGGTTGTGTTAGTAAAATTACAGTAACATAATCCGGTAGGGTCTCGCTGAGCAGGACTCCGCTTTCGCTGTGTAAACTGGGGCCCAAAAGGAAGTTCTTTGGGGACCAGCTCCAAGATCAGAGCTGTCACACCCCAGCCCTGGGGCAAAGTCACCGGGCAGAAACTGGGCCCGATCCTGATCAGCAAGACAAATTCATCTGCCTTACGGGGCGTGGAGAGCACAGTCTGCTTAACATGGGCAGGCCAGTTTGGGGGGCTGGTAATCCCCAGAGGGTAAGTAGAGTGATACTGTGTAAGGCTCTTTCATAGAACCCAGGCTGTGGAGCCCTCAGGAGCCACCGAGTCCAGCCCCCTGCCCAAAGCAGGACCAGCCCGACTCCATCAGCCCAGCCAGGGCTTTGTCAAGCCGGGACGTAAACACCTCCAGGGATGGAGACTCCACCCCCTCCCCAGGGAACCCGGCCCAGCGCTTCACCGCGCACCTCGGGAAATAGTTTCTCCTAATGTCCAGCCTAGACCTCCCCCACTGCAACTTGAGCCCATTGCTCCTTGTTCTGCATCTGCCCCCACTGAGAACAGCCTCTCTCCAGCCTCTTTGGAACCCCCCTTCAGGAAGTTACAAGCTCTCAAATCCCCCCTCGTGCTTCTCTTCTGCAGACTGAACAAGCCCAAATCCCTCAGCCGCTGCTCGTGGGTCATGTGCTCCAGTCCCCTCAGCATTTTGGTCGCCCTCCGCTGGACCCTCTCCAATGTGTCCACATCCTTTCTGTGGAATGGACGCAATATTCCAGATGTGGCCTCCCCAGAGCTGAATAAAGGGGAATAATCACTGCTCTGGATCTGCTGGCAATACTCCTAGTGCCCCCTAATATGCCATTAGCCTTCTTGGCTACAAGGGCCCCTGTTGACTCCTATCCAGCGTCTTATCCATTGTAACCCCCAGGGCCTTTTCTGCAGAACTGCTACTTAGCTGGTTGGTCCCCAGCCTGTACCAATACTTGGGATTCTTCCCTCCCAAGGGCAGGTCTCTGCACTTGTCCTTGTTGAACCTCATCAGATTTCTTGTGGCCCAACCCTCCAATTTGTCTAGGTCACTCGGGACCCGATCTCTGCCCTCCAGTGCGCCATGCCCAGGGGTGAACTTGTGAGAGGAATCCACCTTTGGCACAATTTGCCAAGGGTTGTGAGTCTCCAACACTGACAGCTGGAAGATGCAGGCGGGCTGTTTGGAACTGCTCTGTGCTGGGAGTGATCGGGGCAGGGCTCTGGCCTTGGAATAAACAAATCTAGGCTGGATTTCTCTCTTCCCCCTCTGGGGAGTGGAGTCGAACCCAGTCAGCCATGGCACATCTAGGACCGCAGCCCCCATGCTCTGGATTCCGTCTCAGTGCCCCCAGAAGCTGGACAGCCGGAGACCTTAACTCACCCGGAACTTGCGGCAGAATTCATCGATGGAGCTGATTTCGGAGCCCTGCACCTGTTTGAAGGCAGCTTTGTACTGGACCAGGAGCCGGGAGCAGGCTGCGGTGTACCTGGGGCGGGCACAGAGGAAGAACAGCTGCAAACAGCTGGAGCGGCGGATGCCAAGCAGGGGGACACGCAGCTTCCCTAGGGGGAGAGGAGTTTGCTGGTGGAACAGCCCCCAGGGCGGGGAAGGAGCCCCACGGGCTCCGACTGGAGAGCTCTGCATGGAGCAATGCTGCCTAGTCCCAAGGGGCTGTGTGGGTGGTCTCCCCAGCGTGTCTGCAGCGCCTCGGGGAGCAGAAGTCACGCTGCTAGCGACGCCCTGCTGATCCCACCTCCCCTGGGAGAGCCCAGGCTGGACACACGAGCACAGCTGGGCACTCACTCGTTGGGAGAGACGCAGTCCTTGATATAAGCCTTCTCCAGGGCCTGCATCGTCTTCACCACCGCAAACAGCTCGGCCATGTTATCGTACCTGGAACCCGAGGGCAGAGCCTGTGAGGGCGCACAGCTGGGACTCTCCCCCCGCCTCCATTCACAGCCTGGGCTCCAGCCCCTCCCGGCCCACCAGGGGCAGCTGCTCTGTCCAGAGACCCCTCCGCCCGCTCCTCCTTCCTCAGGCAAGGCCTGCGCTGGCCAATAGCAGCGACAGAACCCAGGGGCTCCAGTCTTTTCTGGCTTGGCGCAGGACACCAGACCAGAGAGCACCCTGCTCCCGCGGCCCCAGCACCTTTCGAGCAAGGGGGGCTCCAGCCCCTCCCGGCCCACCAGGGGCAGCTGCTCTGTCCAGAGACCCCTCCGCCCGCTCCTCCTTCCTCAGGCAAGGCCTGCGCTGGCCAATAGCAGCGACAGAACCCAGGGGCTCCAGTCTTTTCTGGCTTGGCGCAGGACACCAGACCAGAGAGCACCCTGCTCCCGCGGCCCCAGCACCTTTCGAGCAAGGGCCTCCCCACACACCCCAGCCAACGCTGAGCTGCATTCACAGGGCCACGGGAACCCATTCGGCTGGGGAGGGACTCACTTTTCTCGCTCCCGTGCATTCTTATACAGCTTCACCTCCTGCAAGGAACACACACAGCACGTCAGGGCCCGTCACAGCCTCTGAGCAGAGATCCACACGCAGGCTGGAGGGGGCGGGGACAGGCAGACAGATACAGAACCTCCTGCATCCTCTCCAAGGGACTGAGGAGACGGAGAAGGAGCCATGGGCGTCCTCAGGCACATGGGGTCCGGGGATGCCCCAGGACCGAGGGACGTGCAACCTTTTGCAGAGCCAAACCCGAGTGATGCTGGGAGGCCTTTCTGCCTCCTATGCCCGAGACAGAACAAGAAGGGGACTGCGACAAGCGTTACTCACCTCGTAGAGTTCTGGCTTATTCCCTGGGGCTGAAAGAGAAGGAAACCCATGAATAGATGTGGAACTCCTCGCCACAGGATGTGGTGAAGACGAGGACTTTAACAAGGTTCAAAAAAGAGCTAGATAGATTCATGGGGTCCACCAATGGCTGTTAGCCAGGATGGGTAGGAATGGTGTCCCTAGCCTCTGTTTCTCCGGAGGTGAGTGACAGGGGAGGGATCACGTGAGGATTACATGTTGTGTCCCTTCCCTCGCCTTTGGTCTGAGACCGTCTGGCCGTGCTTATGTAACAGATCCAACATTACTAGCCAGGGCCTTCCAGTGTCACTCACAATGCAACTCCTTCCTTGTAACCCGTGTTATGAGAGCTCAGTGCAGCAGCTCCGCCGCCCACCAGCTCCAGGTCCCTGCTGTCCAGCTCCAGGACACTGCAGGCCAGCTGAGAGCTCTTCCAGCCCAGCCCCACTGCTCTCCGCTGGGAACCAGGTACAGTCACAGAGATTCACCGAGTCCAGTCCCTGCCCCGCACTCAAGCAGGGCCAAGTAAACTGAGACCAGCCCTGACAGGCGTTTCCCCGGCCTAGTCTTAGCACTCTCCAGTGACGGGATCCGCCTGGCTGGGACACCTCTTCCAGAGCTCAGCCCCCCTAGCGTGGAACCCCGGTTCTAATCTCAGGGCTTCTCAAATCCCATTGCACCACGACCCTCTTCCGGTGCAAACCTGGGGGGCGGTAGCACTCTCCAGTGACGGGATCCGCCTGGCTGGGACACCTCTTCCAGAGCTCAGCCCCCCTAGCGTGGAACCCCGGTTCTAATCTCAGGGCTTCTCAAATCCCATTGCACCACGACCCTCTTCCGGTGCAAACCTGGGGGGCGGCGAAGCCTGAGCCTGCCTCCCTGCGTAGGAGTGAGGGGGGCCAGCCCCAAGCAGAGGAAGCCAAAGGCCAAGGGCTCCAGCCGCAGGAGGGTGGTAACGTGACCCCCGCCAGGGCTGGACAATCCCGTGTGACAGTCAACTGGCTCCGTGTAACCGGCAACTGCTGAACGGGCCCTGCGGGCAAGGGGGGGCCCCCCGCCCGCCGGGCCGCCC